TTTCAATACCTCAGCATGTAGCTACAAATAAATAAAAGGTTAAAATACCTGACTGTTGCCTTGTGGTCCAAAGTATTGTCCTATACGGATCCGACGATGGCGCTGGCGCCGAAATATATATACTAATTATATTTATTACCCGAAATAATCCACTAGGACAATACTCTGGACCACAAATGCGACAATCAGGAATTTTAACCTTTTATTTATTTGTCAATCAGTTGGTCCGGAAACACCACAACAAAATATGAAATGTAGCTATACCTTATTTCACTGGGTTTACTCAGACTGTTAAGCATGAGAAATCTTAGGTGTAAGAAAACAGGTTATAATAAAAAAATACCTACAACCTTGCCAAATTGCAGATCTCCAGCTAATCTAGAAGTGGGTAAACGAATAGGTAAAGAGTCTGTTATCACCTTGTAAAAGTGGTAGGCTAAAACCTTTCAAATTTTGACACTAAACCTAAGTTTTGGGGGCCAAGGAGCAAATTTACAAAAAAACATGTAAAGAGTAAAATTTCAAGTGAACTAAGTAGAATTCAATGCATTAATCATTAAAAAAAAATTCCAAAACAGCGAAAGACACAAACAATTTGAAATAAATTTACGAATTGTTTAAAGTAGGGCGTTTTTTAGGAGTGAAGGGGGTGATTTTCGGAAAACGCCGGAGTGTGTTTTGTAGAAAATTTAATTCCTGACCATGAAAATTCTATCAAATCTTTGATAGCTCTTACCATTTTTGAGTTATAGCCGTTAAAAAAAACGTGTTTTGTCTTCTTCATATGTGCGGTATTTTGGATTTTTGCGGTGGGAACTTAATCTAACCGCAGCACTGCTGACTGTCTATATTTACTCTATTTGTCTATGCTGGTAGCCTACCTAGGCTTGTATATAGTACCATTGACTAGTCAAACTCTTAGTACTCTTAGTAGTAGTAGCTAGTACTCTTATATGTGAGTGAATCATAAGAAAACAAGAGGACCAATATTAATAAAACCTAACTAGTTTGAAAGCAATGGGGAGGTGGTATTTAGTTAAAATGATGTACCACTTATTATTGTTCTTGATTAGGCTAAGTGTTTTTGCTCAAATGATCTCTTTGTGTTATTTTAGTTATGTCTTCTAATCTCATTAATTACTAAATGCCATTTTAAGATGAGGGTCCTATTAATATTGAGTATTTTAATTCAAATAGGAAAGATGAATGTACCGTATGGAAACAACTATTCCGTACCAATACCACAAGAATGGTAGACCTATGCTTATATTGTTTTGTGATTCCCCCATGCTAAGAAAACGAGGCCTGAATTAATGTGCTGGCCTATCTGTGAGTTTATTTATATAGTTAATTTTTAGTTTCCCTATTTGTTTCAGGAACCCGCAACATCAAGCATCTGCCAGAAACCTTAGGAGATGGTTCTTTGGCCTTAGTCACTAACAAGACTACAAGATCGTGCCACTCATCTCCATTCATACTTGGCTTAAAATACCTACTTTGTATGGTCGCCATTTCATTGAAAAGTAAAGTAAAGTAAAGCATTTGTAATTTAAAACCGCAAAATTTACTACTGTGTAACTTAGATGTATAAAATGTTTTTTACCTAATCCATTGACTGTTGGATACTGAAGCTTTGTCCACCCTTATAGTACAGGTAAAATAGGGTTTTATAAACAACAAAATTTGTACATTCATGAAATTTCACCTGTGAGTTACTAATAATATTAGAAATGAAGATCCGATGAGTCCCCAAAATTTTGGGCGTCCTAAGGCCCTTTTTGGGGCCCTTTTTGTTCCGAAGGGCCCTTGTTCCTGAATAATTTTGTTTTTACGTTTAAGGTCGAGTGAGGTGTGGTTTTCGGTGGTTTTTAGTTATTTTAAATCAATTGGGAGTAGTTTTAAGTGTACTAAACCGCATCATACAGGGTGTTTCGAAATATTATTACTTTTTAAGATATTTAAACATGTATTCATAAAGTATAAAAATTAGTTACCTCCATGCTCTATATAAAAGGGGATTATTGAAAATAATTGTAATTCTTTACTACGTAAGGGGAAAGGATCACAAGGAGTAAGAGAAAATATTAAATACCCCCGTCATAGCAAACCTGCAGACCTAGAGAATTTCCGTTTTACTTACAGTACTTGATTTTCAATTAAATCTAAAATAGCATTGCGTTTAACAATTACATAGTTTTGCTGCTACAAGGAGGCTAATAAAGGGTGTTTATAGTAAAATATTAATAGCCTAGTATAAAACAAATAAATTTGACAAGTTTGATAAAAATATATCTATTAACAAACAAACAAAATCATTTTACACTATTCTACATAAGAATAACATGGGAATTTTAAATTTACAATTTCAGTATTTATATCCGTAACTAATAACCATACAAAAACACGTTAATATACTAAATTATTTTTTTTAAGCTATTTAAAATGTTCTATTGAAAAATTGGGAAACTTTGTGTTTTGAGGGTAAAGTAAATAAGAAAACCAAATTTTTACCCCATAAACCTCGTTCCCATTGTTCAGGAGAAAAATGCTTGTACCGACAATGCTGCTCTGATGTCTTAGTGCTGTCCTGGTCGTCATAACCACAAAAGATAACCGTACTTGTATTGATTGAAAATAAGTTTGAGGAACTTAAGATACAAGTTGCAAACGTCAGTAGGCTATGTATGAAAGGTGTTTTTGCACCACATTGTTCGTGCTTCAAGATTGGTGTTGCCTGTTCTGCAATATGCAAGGTTTTAGGTTTGTAAAGGGGAATCCTGCTTGAACACCAACTTGGACAAAATTAGTAAAGATGGACAAGTTGCTAAGAATAATAAAATTTTTAATGAGTCGTCTGAGAATAATTATTCTGATGATGAAATTGTAAAGAGAGATACTACGGAAATTATAGAAAAATAGCTTTTGTTTAAGTACTTCATTTTAATATATAATTTAAGGTTTTATACAAATACAATTGTTTTAATTTTTAATAAATGTAAAAAAAATAATTTAAATAACTACCTAAGAAAATGCATATCAATTTGAAATTGGTCTTAATAGATTTGCATAAAAAACACCTTGAAAGATTATTCACACCACCTTAAAAGTTGAAATTTTTGCTTAGTAACCTATGTAATTATGTTATAGTGTAAAACTTAATGCATCCCCTTTTAGCGAACATCCCATACAGGAGATAAGCTATTACCGAAGGTCTTATGGTAAAACATAGACCCGAAACCGATTTACGTTTTCATTTCGATGCCCCCAGAAGCCTAAAGCACCATCCACTCAAAATATTATATATGTGTTTATATACATATACCGTATATAATATAATATATCCATGTTATATACGTGTCCGTAAACATGATAACTCGAGTAATTTTGGTTCAATTTTAACGAAACCCGCATAATCGGTCCATGGAATAGTGTTTTATGTGGTAAACATTTTTAATCTTTGACCCTCAAAAGACAAAGTTTCCCAATTTTTCTCTAGAGCATTTTAAAGAGCTTAAAGAAAACAAATAATTTAGTATATTAACGTGTTTTAAGTGTATTAGTTACGAATAAAATTCAAAAATTGTGAATTTAAAATTCCATTTTATTCTTAAGGAGAATAGTGTAAAATGATTTTGTTTGTTTGTTTATTGATATGTAAAATACAACTTGTCAAATGTATTTGTTTTTTACTAGGCTATTAATATTTTACTATAAACACACTTTATTAGCCTCCTTGTAGCAACAAACCTAAGTATTCATTAAACTCAATGCTATTTTAGATTTAATTGAAAATCGGGCAAATGAATATTCGCTTAGTCTGCAGGTTTGCTGTGACTGGGGTATTTAATATTTTCTCTTACTCCTTGTGATCCTTCCCTCTTATATAGTAACCCCTCTTATATCCCTCTTATAAAGAATTACAGTTATTTTCAATAATCCCCTTTTATATAGAGCATGGAGGTAACTAATTTGATCACTTTATCAATAAATGTTTAAATATCGTAAAAAGTAATAATATTTCGAAACACCCTGTATGGAGTGGTTTAATACACTTAAAACTAGTCCCAATCGATTTAAAATAACTAAAACCACCGAAAACCACACCTCACTCGACCTTAAACGTAAAAACAAAATTATTCAGGAACAAGGGCCCTTCGGAACAAAAAGGGCCCCAAAAAGGGCCTTAGGACGCCCAAAATTTTGGGGACTCATCGGATCTCCATTTCTCATATTATTAGTAACTAACAGGTGAAATTTCATGAATGTACAAATTTTGTTGTTTATATGGAGTGTTTTGTATTATTTTACCTGTACTATTAAGCAAATTTGTATACTTGATAAGCTTTTCACAACAATAAATATTTCATGATTGTGGCAATCTCACCTCTGATAAGCATGTGACAACCAAACATGACAAGCTTGTGACAACCAAACGTGACAAGCTTGTGACAACCAAACATGATAGATGACAAGCATGTGACAACCTGAACTTTTGTCAAGTAGAAAGCTTGTCGTATGATTGTCACATGCTTGTACACTTGTCACTAACAAGTTTGTGACAAGCTTGTCATTTGTCAGCAACAAGCTTGACGATTGCTTATCACAACCATAATTTGCTATCTAATTGTATAAGTTACATCTGTAAACTTAAAAAGACTTCAATAGGTGTTGGCCAAAAAAAAAAATTATTATTTGGTGTTCTTCTTTCCAAAAAAACTAGATTCATACTTAATGCATTAATTTTCCTTAGTGAATGAAGTACCGTAATCAACATAAAAGTACCGTAATCAATATAATCAACATGGCACTGGTGTCAGATTTGAACCAGCTTGCTTTTTGGCGACTAGACCTTAATTTACCAACAACTTTTATAACTTAAAATTCCCTTGCAGGTGACAACAAAGTCAAATTATTATTAGAACAATAAACATAAAATAATTTAGTAGGTACATTATGTTGTTTGGGCTGGGTGTATCAATCAAAACTTAATTAAGACTTACAAGAGACAAAAGGCGACGCATTGCTATCTCATGATTCCAAAAACATTCACATGGATCCATGGCTCCGTCGTCTCCCATACAGATCAATTAATTATTGATTCCTGAAATGTCAAATAAAAAGTAAATAAACAATTGTAAATGTATGTCACTGCTGGATAAGGTAGTACCGTAGTTTTTAAGAAGTAACCAAATAACTCTAATTCTGTTCTAGCCCTTTAATTCTTCGCCCTCTTCCATTGTTTATTAAAACATGTTTTTTTTTTTAGCAAATTTCAGACATAGGGGACAAATTATTACCATAGGTCTCATGGTAAGACCTGGATCCAGGGTCGATTTACTTCTTTATTTTGATGTCCCCAGAGAACGAAAACACCATCCGTTCAAATTCATATCTATACTAGCTGAACCCGGCAGACGTTGTCTTGCCTTTGACTATTTATAATTTAAGTACCGTAACGTTTAATTGTCTTATTGTATATGAAGTGCTTATAACTAAATTAAAATACGTACGACAACTAATGAAACACATATAGTACAAAGGATAACCGATTCTTTATTATTGCTCTTATATTAATGCTAGTGAATAGACAATATTTTTGGTCTTTACATTCGGCTCAATCACGTCCTGGTTGACGTTCGTTCGCTACGCTCATTCACCTTTAGGTTGGAGCTCGTTCGCTACGCTCACTTGCCTTCAGGTTAGCTCGTTCGCTACGCTAACTCGCCTCCAGGTTGAAGTTCGTTCGCTACGCTCACTCACCTTTTGGTTACAAATTAGCTGTTGTCATAAATGTAAAAGAAATAATAGTCCTGCACCCTGTTGGTAATCCTCGTAACTTTAATGCTATTGAACATCATAGAACAGAACCAACTTGTTTAATTGAAACAGCTGTTAAGATTCATTAATTCCATTTAAATATGAGTACTCATAAGGTTAACATGGGAAACTCCAGAGCCACTGGAGCGGAGCCGATTGGACGGATCACGAAATTGATGGTGTATAAACCTATTCCATGAAATTCTACACGTATGTACCAAGTTTCGTGGCAATCGGTTCAGCGGTGTCTGAGTTTATCACTGCCAAACAAATATATATATATATATATATATATACAAACATCCTCTTTTATACTTATAAGATCTATAAAAGAGGAAATATGTACGTAGACCTTTATATGTATGTATGTACCCCATGGACCTTGAAAACGCTCGACAGATTGTAATGAAACTTTTCGGCATTAATAAGCATTATTCAAGGATGGTCTGTGTGAAGTTTGGTGCAGATCCATCAAAAGGCCCCAGAGGCTTTAAAGGGGTCCAATGTCAGACTTTTGGAACTACAATGTTTACAAATAAATATAATTTTCCTACAGTCACCCGACGGCTTCCTTGTACTGATTATAGTACAGAAAGCTGCTAATTGCTGCATATTTATACTTTGTCGTGCGGTTTATACTTTGCACTCATCCATTGTTGAACCATGGCAAATTATGTCATCAAAGTTGGCCTCAGTTTTAGGCAATCTCTTCAAAATTTGTGTAAGAATTCGGTTGAATTCAGAAGGTGCTGTCTTTATTCCGAAGCTTAGACGCTTGACACGATATGTTCCACGGTGTGTTGACATTGTCTGGATAATACTGGACTCTTCGTCGACCTTGAGGTGCAGATAAGCTTTGTACAGATCAAGTTTACAAAAGTAACGAGATCCTCTCAAACTAACGAGTACATCGTCAATTTTTCGAATAGAATGGTTTGCCTGGACTATTCGTTCATTCACACCACATTTGTAGTCGACACAGAGACGAACACTTATATCTGCCTTAAGTATCACGACTAGTGGTGACCCCCAATCACTTGACGTAACAGGTAAATCTAGTTCTTTGTTGACCTGATCAATAAGAGCATGAGGTACGTTCCGTTCATGATTGAAAATAGGCTTTGCTCCTGATCGAAGATGTAATGATACTGTAAAGTTTGGAACGCATCCAATTTTTTGCTTGAAAATTGGCGCAAATTTTTCAAACAGTTCCTCAACTGAATTTACTGGTTGTAATTGAAGGGTAGTAGCTGGTCGGTTCATTTCAGCGTTAATTTCACACAACTCAATACCCAGTCCTCGGATCCATTGGCGCCCTAGAAGTGTGTCATGCCCTGAAGGGACAATGTGAAGGTCACCTTTGAACTGTTTACCCTTGTATGATACAGAAACTGATACCTTTCCCTCTGGTTTGATTTTGTCTCTAGAGTATGAACGGAATGCTAGCCTTGATGGTTCTACAGGTACGTTCAGATGTATGCTATAGTTATTTACGGTATGCTATAGTATAACACATATACCATAGCCATAATGTTATACCACTGCACCTAAATAATAGAAAATAGTAAATTATCAAACTTTCGCACAATCTTGCAAATTCGAAATTAAACGCTTCATAAAGCGTTTTGATTTTTTCATTCATTTGATACTAATAGTAAATAGTTGTAGAAACGCAGTGTTTTCTTCTAATCAATAACTATATAGACACATGGGTAAAACAATCACACATTATTTATCAAACCGCTATTATTTATGTTCATCAATGAGCCCGCCGACGCGCCGGCGTGTCGCTGCAATCAACATGGTGATTGTAGTAGCCGGTTGTAGGCATAATAGTAGTTGCGGCGCTCAACTGGGTGGGAGTTGATCTGTTGCTGCCGCATTCGCTGTGATTTGTATAGTTTTTGTTTTATTCTGACATATAAAATTAAGCTTGCTATGAGTAAAGAAAAGAATCCTCAAATTTTGAATGTAATTAAATCGTCTAAGGACATTTTGTTTGGAACGTTTTCAAGTACCCTAAACTATGTTTTCAATATTCGAATGCATAAGAATATTCGGGTTAAAAACCATTTGGTGATATTCTCCCCATTCTCATTTTAAGTCTACAAACCATGAATACTAAGCCTAAACGTTTATTGATGTAACAAATAATTGCAACGCCGTTACAAGCAATGGAGGAGAAGTAGGTTTTCAAGTATAGTAAAACATGGAATAGGTGCTAATGCAGCTGGTAGCTCAGAGGTAGAGTTTTCGCTTCACATGTGGTGGGTCCCTGGTTCAAATCCGGCCCACTCACTATACTTTTTGTTCCATTAATTAAACTTTTACACGTTTTTACATTGAAATAACAGCTCTAATCAACATCTAATCTATTATATTATTAAAGTGATACAATCAAATTTTATGTAAACGGTTAAGGCCATTTACCAAATAGAAATATAGGCATATGGTATATCAAAATGAAGCTTAGAGTGTGTAGATTTGCCGAAAAGTATTGATATTGACGAACTCCCTAGGGGCTCTGCCCCACAGGCTAATTTCCAAAGGGCTGCGCCTTGCATGTTTTGAACGTTATTCGATTAATTTAGTGAACAACAGCTGGCCAATGCAATTGACAATATAGTATGTTTGTTTACATTTTTGTTTACCTATTTTATTATTTACTTTTATGCTCTTAAAAGAGGTGTGGTGAATGGACAGTGAAGCTATTTGTAGCTGTTTGATACAAGTGAGTGATTAAAGGTGTTCGAAACACGATGAATATGAGATTAACAAACCATGTATTTTGTTCGTTCCAAGAGGTTGTCACCAATTTTTAACAGGTCGCAATTTCATTGATAGGTATTAAAATATGTATTAAAGTATTAAAGACGCCGTGAAAGAGAGCGGCGAGTTCAGGTACAACCGTACCCACCTCGGCCACCTTAGGACGTAAGGTATGAAGGTTCCACTGCTTTTAACATCCTTTCAGATGACAATTTCTCGAACTTGGGCCCTTTAAATGAAATATAAAGTCAATGGTGATTAAACTAATTTAACGGTGGCTTATGTACACCCGTAAATTCGCGGGTAAAACCTCTTGTTTTTTATTACTTTGAATAACAAATTCAGAATACCAAAATGGATTAAAAGTGATAAGCAGTTCAGTCCAACGCCCAAAAATCAAATATAGGCCTACAAAATTGTTAGTACATCACAGGGTTTTAGCTATTTAGGGAAGCATATAATAAGCACCTCAAAAAATACAATGAAACTCCTCTTTAAAATTGTTTTACCATTATTTCCTATTAAAATGTCTTTAAATAAAACCGAGAGCCTTTTGGGTGTGAAATAATCTAATTAATGTTGCAATGTTGGATACATTTTTGTACATCTTTGTATGCAATACGGTATGTGGTTTTAATTTGGTTTCTCTCGAAGATTAAAAATCTTTTATCTGTGATAACTAAATAGTTTATATAACCATGAAATTTAACTCAAGTAAATTTAGACTAAAATTTCACAGAAATTGATAACTTATAATTATAATTATTCTAATAGGTGTACATACATTATAAAATTCAATTTAACTTATTTTGCTCTACGCCACGTTTATTGATTGTAATTTACATCTAATAATTATAATTTTAACACTCACAGATCTATTTTAATCTTAAATTGCAAACTTGAGCCAATTCGCACCTGAAAAAAGAATTCAATAATTCATTTTTTTTAAATGATGTGAGTAATGAAATAACTCTCTTCCCAAAAATACTAGTCTACTAAAGTATTTACCAGTGTAATTTACAAGAGTAAAACTTTATGAAACACATTGCTGTCTACACTAGTAAAAACCACTAGTAATGCTAGTCCCTACACTAGTAACTAGTTTTTTACACTAGTAGGTTTTTGAAACGTAGACTTGTAAAATACACTAGTAAATACTAGACTAGTATTTTTATGAAACAGGGCCCTGGTTTGATTTAGATTGTATAGTAATCTGTTTATTTCTTATGCTGTATGATGGTTATAGCATCACAGGCGAAGTCGTGGGTATAAGCTAATGTAATATATATAACACAAAGCCCACACCACACACAAAGCCCACGTGGTATATATAACACGTGTCCATTAGCATGATAATTTGAGTGCTAGAGCAAACCTACTGACTAAGCAAATTTCCATTTGACTGATTTTTATTTTAAAAATCTATTTAATTAACATTAGGTTTAGTGAGTACCCTACCTAGGTTTGCTGCTACAGGGAGGTTAATAAAGTATGTTTTTAGTAAACATTATTAGCTTAGTATAAAATAAATAAATTTGCCAAGTCTGATCAAAATATATCCACAAACAAGCAAACTACAACCAACGATATAAACAACTCATGGATCGCTGGCTCAGTGTTGGCCGCGTGGTCCGGCGCTCCCCCACTCTCTACTGGCCCATACACTCACCGTATAAAACACATCTTTGTAGTTGCTGCTCTGTTTAAATATGTAGGGATGAAAAATTGCTAATGCATGTCAAACTCTTATTAGGCCTACATACAATTAAAAACTTAATGTATATTTGTTTCTTGCACAGAATAACCCATTTGAACTCTTTAAAACTACACATTCACTAAACTTGATTTTAAATGTTTTTTCACACAACTGACATGTCTAGTTCAAAACTAAACATGGTAAAACAATAAGTAATTGCAAAGAAAGGATAGTAAGTACAAAATTTGTCATTTCACACTAGATTTATTAGCCTTATGAAATCAACATTAAATATTTTTGAATAGAATAATTTTGGTTAGTTTCTGTCGCAGACCTATGGCGTAAACGTGATACTTATTCGTTTAGCTGAGTGGTGGCAATATATTTTAATAAAAAGGTCACAAACAAACGTAATTAATTGCAATTAATGGGTGTATTCCCCAAAAGAAATATTCTCGACAAGCCCCTTAAAAATAGTGCCCACAAAATGGGAACACACAGTCCTAGTCTTTTTGTGTTAAAGTTTCTTTCATGTTGAAGCTGACAAGTTAATGCATTGTAAACGTACTTAACTACCTTAAAAACATCTTTGTGTGCCCTAATGAGCTAACCTTTAGTTACAAAATCAGTCAGTTGTGTGAAAAAACATTTAAAATCAAGATGCACAAGATGTGCACAAGATGTGAATAGTACAAATTGAATAGTACCTAATGAACATCAACCCGACCTACCATCATAACCCATAGTGTTGACTGGCCTCTGAGAAAATAAGCCCGGACGCATTTATTTCATTGTGCATGTTATACAATGTACAGTTTTAATTTAACCCTATCAACTAAATAAAAACAAAATCATATTTCAGTTAAGTTAAACATGCTATAACGAGTTAACACGTTCGCTACTGCAATTATACGAAATTGTTCATTCAAATAGACTAGCGACGCACATATGCGACGGCCGGTTTCCACCCATGGACTGGCACCGCATATATGCGACAGCTAGTCACATTAAAATAGACTGCCGTTGCATATTTGCGTCGGGGTTCTAATGTTATTACATTTTTTCGAATGTTATTAATGTTATTAAAATGCTTATATCTTTGTAACGGTCTATTTGAAGGCACTGAATTCCCTGCAGTGGTCTACAGAGATGTCTGACGCACAACTGCGTCGCTTGGTCTGTGGATATGATGATTGGTGACATCATATGATATTTAAAATAACTGGTGTTTACTTTTCTGCATCACTCTATGTATGTATGCAGTACGTATGCTGCATTATCCTATGTAGCTTTTATATTTGTTCAGTTATAAACTGTTCTTGAATAATCTGCATTGTTTTACTTACTTTAACCTCAAAACAAAAACAAAAATGAACTGTCGCATATATGCGACGTCTGGTCTATTTCAAGAAAACTATGATAATTTTCACTATTGTCTTCGCTGTAGACCGGGCGTTGCAAATATGCGACATTACAAAAGGTTATAAAAAATACAAAAAAAACAAGAATAAATTATTTACAAACAGGATTGTAGCGTATTACAATGTAAATGATCACTGTTTTACAGGTTTTCGCCCGTGATCTGTGTGTACTGTTATCCAAGTGACAGCCGGTCTATGTGTAAGATTCAAATGTATACCTCGGTCTGTGGCAATGACCGCGGCGTCGCATATATGCGACGCTCAGTAGCGAACGTGTTAAGGAATCACTTACTCAGACACCTTGTTTATAATCTATTAGATTAGGTACTTTACACGTGAAACAAAATGCCAGTGCCTTTCTGTACTTTGTTGGTGCAGTTGTAAGCGGAACAAGACACAACCATTTTAAACACATACTTAGCGTACAATTAAATATATTGATAAATTTTAATCAGTTTTAAAAAACCGCACACTGTTGTTACATCAAACAAGTGTTGAAATGGGTGACAGCTAGCATGCACGTGAGGTACACCGCCGCTATCTTGCCAGTAGAGAGTGGGGGAAGCGAGACCAAAAACAGCGCCCGCTAAGCCACTGAGAGTGCAATCCATTAGTTCTTTACATCGTTGACTACAACAAATTACTTATTTTCCATAAGAATAATGTGGGAATTGGGACAAGAATAGGAAAACTTAATTTTTTACAACATAAAAACACGTTCCCATGGTCCGATCATGCTGGTTCGCGAGCTCATTCAAGTTTATTCCACCCTACACCTTTAAACCGAATTTCATCAAAATCAGACAAAAATTGCTCAATTTATCGCGTTTACAGACACATACCGGGTGTCCCAAAAAGAATAGAACAAAAGTAAACTGGCACAAAAATATTATCATTAAAGATATAAAATTTTTATTTGATATAAAATTTTTTTCTTATTTTCCTAAGTTTTTCCTTACATGGTTTCACCGCCTAGCCTCTATGTGTTCTCTGTTGTTTGCTCGAAGAAGAACAGATCGGTGTTCCAGCTCTGACCACACATTGTAGCGCATTTCATTAATTTCTTTTCAAAGGCATCTCTTTGCTTAATTTTTTTAAATCTATGTTTGACATCAGTGAGCGATAGATACACTTGATCTTCCACAAACCCCCCAGACCAAAAATATCACTCCACAGATTTTGTCTCTATAAACCATTCAATACACTGTGCTTTCAACTGCATCTCCATATTGTAAACTGTATGTTTTGAAAATCCAAACGTGCCAACAACTTTCGAACAGCTGATTACTATTGAAGGAAAAAACTTACAAACGCCAGCTTTAAAATGAGCCATGGTTAATAACTTTTCTACGAATCTTAGAAAAACATAGAATTTTTGTTATGTCTTCTCTAAGACTGTTAATAATTCATTTACCTAACCCGCCATGTTAAACTTCCCTATCCCAAGCGTGATGTATACAACTTCCTTACTTCTCGAGTGATGTAAAGTTGGAAAAAACTCACTCGGTGATGTAATGAAACCCATTTAAATAACATTGAGTGGATAACTTAAAAAATATACCTCTATGGAGCCAACGACGTTCAACGCTAGAAATCAGCTGTGTGTTTGAATTGTATTGTTATGCTTTGAAGAATTTTCCTAACCTAGCTTTTGTTTGTAAATGAACGTTACTGTTAGAAGATGAGTGAAATTGATAATGAAGCATATTGCTCGTAACCTCCCGAATATTGTCGGGTCAGGTAAAATCTTGTACGTTACACGTTACGCAAGAGCGTGTTTACATCACTTCGGTGAATTATGCAACTCGCCTTCGCTCGTTGCACAACATTCACCTGCGTGATGTAAAAACGCTCTTACTACACTTGTAATGTAAATAGCTATTAGGCCTATACCTATTTTTACTATCATATGTTTTTCTATTGTTTTTTGTTTTGTAAACGTTCATGAATTAGATTTTGTGTTGAGTTAAGATGCGTGCATTTATTAATTATTTTTGTAATTAATGAGAGTCATTTTAATTGGCGACGAGTTTAAAAATCAACTAGCCACTTTAAAATTCAACACATTTACTTTTCAAAATTACATTCAATTTCTAGTTTCAAGATAATATTTTATACAGTTCAAACTATAATGGATGCACAACAGTTTACCTTGCTTCTAAACACTTTCAATGAACAACAAAAAGCACTTGTACGTGAGATGTCAAACATGTTTCAAGCTCAAATTCAAACAATTGTTACATCAATTGGAAAATCCAGAGAAGAATGCTCTCAATCTACAATGTCAAATGTTGCTACATTCAAAAACTTCAATGCCAAACAAGAAAAGTTTACCAGCTATTTGGAACATTTCGAAAAATATTATACAATGAAAGGTTTGACTGACAAGAAGAAAATTGCTCAACTCTTGTGTAATTCTATAAGTAGTGAACATTATAACAACCTATCTGCATTTTTGGGTCCAGACAAGCCACTCAAATCATTAGATTATGAAACTCTGTTGAATGACTTCAAGAAACTATTGACTCCAAAGAAAAGTGTTGTTGTTGCTCAACATTATTTCTTAAATATCTTTCAAAAAGAAAACCAGTCAATTTCAGAGTTTGTGGCCGACCTCAGGCGTAATCTTCAAGAATGTGAATTTGCAGTTGAATGCTCCAGCGATGAATGTGGAACATCTGTGTCAATTGCTGATGTTTTCTTGCGGGCACAGTTCATACGAGGATTGAAGGACAATTGGCTTAGGGAACACATTTTACAATCCGTGTACACAAAGTTTGATGAAATTCTAGAGAAAG